TCTTTCTAGATTTAGTTTTGCACCAACTGATATTCAACAAAGAAGACTAGGTAAACAACTATTGTGAAAAACTTAACCACGTGACAATAAATGAATGTTAAGCAAGTATGAAATTAGTGTTTTAATTAAACAGCACCTATTTGTTGTTGTTGTTTTTCTACAGTGCAACAAAGCAACATCTGTAAGGCTGCTGGCGTTATTGTCGGACCCGTGATGCTGAACGACTGTGTTTGATTGTTACGATGGGTAAAAGTTAATCGTACTGCGTCTATTATTTTCTATTATCAAACTACCCCTGCCAGATGATGTTTGGTCGCACAGCATGAACAGAGGCCGCCCGCATGAAACCCTTCACACAAAACATGGTTACGTGACGTCACTCCTCTTTCATTTCCGATTCACATCCCTACTCCTCTTTGTATACAAACTAGTTTAAAGAGAAAGTGGGGGGATGAGTTTTCTACATTTGGTCCAATCTCAAATTTTTGCATATGTTTTGGTTTGTATTAAATACTTAATACAAAAGTATTATAAACCTACAGCAAACTTAGTTGTGCTGCAAATATATAAATGCAGTGCTACATAAAAAGGTTTACAGCCATGTCAGCAGAATATTTACAAACATCTTACCAAAGTAACTTACGATAGTTGTTCTCGTCACATGAAGATTCGATTATTCTAATCTTTTACATTCATCATATCGACCAGTATTATTACGCTCAATTCTCTTTCACGATATGTACGAATTTGATATGAAAACAAGAAAATAAGAAAAGGTAAAAACCTCCTTCTTTAGAAAGAACAAATAGCTAGGGAAATAAGTGAAACATCTTGCGCCAGAGATAAAAATAAAGACGTCGGTAAATTAAAATTTAATTCATAAGAAAAAGTCAAAAAGTGTGTGAAAGGTATAAGAATTAAATAAGCATTCAGTGCAAATCGAAAGGCTAATATTTCAGGAAGAAAAAATTTTCAGGTAAAATACTAAAAAATTGATAAAAGTTTAGCCTAATGCTTCATAAAAAAAAACAACAAATTCATGTCCGAAGTAATACATCCTCTCATGATGTGTCATTCTTCCTTTCCTCAACTAACCCAAGTGCAACACTAACATTTAAACAATATCAAACCAATGAATTTCTCTACTATAAACATATTTTCCAAAAGTTTGGTACATTTTTGGGGTGTGTGTGTACCCTGTTGTGAAAGCAAAATTCGAGAATAATACAAATAACAGCCTTTCCAAGGAGTAAATCATAAACAAAAAACGTTTGTAAAAAAACATCACACTAACAAAGGATGTTCACGCATAGCACTAGAGAAGGAGAGTATTACTATTATAGGTGTTGGAACCATGAGTTAAATTCTGTATACTGGATGAAAAACGCTTTGGTAGTTTGTGGGAGAGGAAAATACATGTTTGATGTTATAGAGGAATACTTACTACAGAGTATCACTATCACTGTACCAGTAAAGATGATATAGAAAAAAAAAAAAGATTTGTTCACACTTACCTTGCGAAGCCCCTAGCTGCTCTAGAACAGCTTCAATACTTTGAAAATCCTGCACGGTTACGAACGTTAGTGGAAAATACCAACGATGAACCAAACACAACAGAGCTTTCTTCTAAAACGATATTAGCAGCTATCTCTTCTCAGTCTTTGGTACGGAGAATGAGTTTGATTGTGATGAGCCGTTTTGATAATGGAAACAATTGAAATGTGTACAAAAATGATAATGACTGAACTAGAGATAAAACGAGTAAAACAAAAAATAGAAGGAAAAGAACGAAACCAGCACACGACTTTCTTATCTACTCAACACAACTGAGTTGTCTCCACGACAGGAACTAAATGTCCCGTTTCTCTCCCTTCAACCTGCATTAAACGGCAGCCGTCACACAGCTTATTATGCGCCTGTCGCTCCGCGCGTGCGGAAACACCGCCTGCGCAAAATCAGATTGGCTAGCTTGAACTGAGCAATCTAGGGTTTCTAACACAAGTAATGTTCAATTAACACAGTCTTTGTGCACCCACTGTTGACAATTAAATGCTAGAGTTTTTTGCGGTAACTTATATACTCAAGGTAGGAAAAAAAATCTAACGCGGAAGACTCCACTATTTACGTATGTTAAGCGGCTAGATCTCACGTAAACATGTAAAGTTAAACCGGAATAACAAGTTTTTTTGGTAGTAATGTTAATTGCACGTCTCATGAAAGGTTGCAATTGGAGGTTACTTTATCATATATAGTTATAAACTGTATTTTAAGTTTTTGAGCTGTGCTACATGTAATTTATAGGCCTGGTCACCTGTGGTGGCTCGGGCCTATTATTACAGTAGCATCGTTGTCTATGTAAGTAAACAATTTGATTAAAACACGTATGTAACTTTAACAAACTGTTTGAGGGTTAGTTCCTAATAAATGCACGTAAAAGAACATGTCATGCGAGGAGAAAAATGAATTAGTCAAAAAGTGCTTAGTTCCCGGGTTTGTGATTTAATTTCAATAACGTTATCTAAATAATTATATATTGAATATGCCCAAAATAACTGAAGTTAAATATCCGTTGAGTATTTTACAGACAGAAAATTTGCAAACGGAAAATATTTTGTTAAAGCTGTAACGGTCGACAGATGGCACTAGTATATTCAGAGGATTGAGTCTATGCATAGTTCGTGTCAATGGCAGCATACGATGATAGATTTTCTATTTTTATCTAACTTTAAGCAGCAGAACGATGACTTCTTGTTGGTATTAGAATACACATGTAAAAAATGCAACATTGAATACTACTGTTCAGCACAAGAATGAAGTAGAGCCAAAAGCTCTTTGAAACAAACAATATAGTGAAAATGAGCTGAACCAACTCATATACAAAATTTGACAAAAATAGAATTAATTGAAATTACATTTTTCAGATGCTATTGTTAATATAGATAGTAATAAAGGAATTCCCCTTACTAAATGTAAAATAACTTTTGCAAGGAATGTTCGATTAATCCAGTCCATTGGATAGTTTTTACTAAGTACTACGTTTCAATTTCAACCATTTTTAACAGTTTCTGTTAACCTATGTCGACATTCAAGGAAAAATTTGGTTTTCTAAAAATCAGTTGTGGTTTTTAGACGATGTTATGCTTCGTTCGAAGGTTATGACCTATTCAATTACACTGATAATTGCTCAACAACTTAACTTTTTTTTTGAACGATGCACGTTTTTTTTTATTGGTTTCTCCTTTTTCGTTTCTTTTGTGACTGAGTCGGAAGTGACCTAGTACTTATCTTTCCGGGCTGTGAACTTGAGGATGCATGGTTTGCGTCGCGTTGCCGGAAAACTTGCTCTTCACTCTGAGCCTAAATTAAAAGAGTGACGGCCAAATCCCACTATTCGATTAGAGTAGCCCAAGAAGTGATGTGAGTGCTTTTGGCTAAGTTCTGACAGAAACAGTCTTGTTATATACATATATATATATATATATATATATTAATAATTAATTTAAGTTGTACGCTTATCAGTTTGAATACTTGTCCCTGAACCCCTCCCACAGCTTTGGAGCTTAGCAGATCCAAATTTGGCAGGCGCACTCGGGGTGGCCAAGGGTGTCTTTATCTAAGTGGCGTAAACCCTACCAAGAGGGCCAAAAACGCGCCAGGAAGGTCATCCAGGCACCACATTTTGTGTTCCTGCCCCCTCCCCTCTTGGGATCCAGGGGTGCCATATATGAAACTACGTCCATACCCACACACTCTCTGAAGTTAGTGGGACCAAACGTAGCACACGTGCTCAGGCTCCAAATACGAGTGTTTTAATGGGGTTTGGTTTTCCTATATTGGACCCCCTTGTGGTAGCTATAGAAGTAAATCTGGATATTAGAGGTGCTTGATCAGTACAGTGGGGCTTCTGTGAGTCACAAGGGGTAAGAAATTATTACAAGGAACTTGTACAGAGGATTAAAGATAACACCATAAAGCTTGTTGTCTTAGCAGATAGAAACTGATAGTTGCATAATCGGATTATCTTTACTGAAAAAAATTAATGAATTTAATTACAGCACAGAGATAGAATAGTAGATACGAGTGAAAAATGTGATTGTTAAGTAAATCAAAAGCTGACTGTAAAAAATTTTCATTTTGTTTTGATTAACATAATAAATTTTTCCATTACATACCTAATGATAATTTTATTAGAAATCTCCGAAACATATTTATTGAACACTTAATTTATTTACGTATGTGGCCCACTGGTTAAACGAGCTGAGATACGGACTGGAAAATCTAAGGTTTGAACTCGCAATGTGTTGCAGAATACGCTTTGAACTTTCAGCTGTGGGACCATTATAAAAGAAAGCGTCAATTTCGCTATTTAGTTAAAAGAAACTGTGTATGTGGTGCGTACTGCTGACTAGTTGCCCTCTCTATGGTCAACAATTTTGAATTAGGGACAACTTTGCTTGAGCCTTGTGGTATCTGGCCTAGCCGTTTAGTCTGTGTGTCTCATAAAGAGTTGTTCATATTGAAAATACCAAATACCATATTTATGTATGCAAAACACACTGATCATGTGATACATTAGATAATTGCTTGAGCCTGTACGTGTAAAACTGTATTCATATTATGATTAGTCTGAAAAATAGTGGGTACAAGCGCGGTCCTTCATCACATCAAATTGGTTGTGTTGGTAAATTGTTGTTGAAACACGGATAGAGCTGAGTGAGTGGAATCCAGAAATGGGTTGAAACGAGGACGAAGGTGACTGGAGTTGAGAGGTGGAGTAGAAGGAGTGGCGTCAGTAAAACTTAACTTGAGTTTGACCTGTATGGGCGCCTGATTTGATGTTTGTTGTACTTAGAGGAAAGGAGTCCACAAATGATTGAAATCTATGCTTTGATAACGATTCAGGAATGACTGATGGATTTTGATGTAAAGGGCTTCTTTAATTTCCTGTTTTTTTCCCACGTTGTGAGGAGTCGATTATTTATCGTTGGTTCCAATTGCCAATTTACCCGCCCGGTGTTGTAGTTGTGTTCCGCTAGGGCATTTTTCTGTACGAAGAAGTTGAGTAGTATCTTGATGTTCCTTTACTCTTTGTTTTATTGTCCTGTTGACTAATGTGATAGTTTTTTCTGTGTCTGAGCGTGGAATCTTGAAGCTAACGCCCGTTTCTTAAGTTCTTTTTTAGATCTGAAGTACATTTGATTTGGATGTGTAATTTCTTTTTAAGTTCGTAATTTATTTTCGAAACGAATGGAGGAATAATGGTTATTAGGATTAAGGGGTAATTTTTTATATAGGATTAAATAAAACTTTTGTGTTAACCATTCGTTTGGAAAATTTGTAGAAGTGTTTTTTTTTTTTTATAAAGTTGGTTGTTGTCTCGGAT